TTTTAAATTTGTAAAATTTACCTAAAGTGCATGACTGAAATACTTGCATCCCTGAAATTTCATTGACTATATCCATTAAATGTTATACTTCTTGACAGAAATTATTTTCACACTTCTATTTTCTTATTCTGATAAATACAACTTTTGCTAATTTTCACTGAATCTTTAATATGCTCTGAAATTATTGTGTGGAACTGCAGTGATTTCTCTGTGTCTTCTCTTATACTTTATCATTAATTCTGCCTTGTTGAGATGGTCTTGAGTTTGTCATGAGATAAGGGTAAACCATGAACAATGTACTAAGCTCCTTAATGAAAATGTAGGCCAGAATGCAACAGAACAATGATCATAGGGGGTACTTTGATTTAGCATTTTTATTATTGCAAATCATGGGGTTTTGCTTACCTTGAAGCACAGAACATAATTCTTGTTAATCATTGCCTAAAGAAAAATCCTCACTAATGGGATTATTTTTAAATTTATCGTATATTGATATGTTTTCCTCTTTATCTTGCTCTAATTTGTGGAATTACTAGTTCTTTTCTCCTTATTTGATTTATTTTATTTTAAAATTAACGTAATAGTAAAAGCATATTTTTGGTAAACAGCTGTCTGAAGATTAATGCAGGTATAGAAGTATATAACTACCAACACAGAATATGGAACAGTCACATCACTCCAAAAAACTTTGTATCACCCCTTTGTGGTCTCACTCTGTTCATCTTGCACCTATTCTCCATCTGTTTGTTTTTGTATTTTGGAGAATGTCATGTTAATGAAATAACTCAGTAAGTAGCCTTTGGAATCTGGCTTCTTTTACTCACGATAATGACTTGGAAATTCATTCAAACTAGTTAAGACTTTGTCAGATTTGTGATATGCAAATATCTTTTCCCATTCTGAAGTTTGTCTATTTTTTTAAATTGTTGTGCCCTTAGCTGTGCAGAGGGCACAGCTTTTTAGCTTAATTAAGTCCCATTTTGTTGTTGTTACAATTGCTGCTGAAGTCATCTTCAAAAAATCTTTCCCCAGTCTAACATCCTCAAGTGTTTTTTCCCACAATTTGTACTAATATTTTTTCTTTCATGTCTTAGATTTAAAACTTTTATCCATCTTGAATCAATTTTTCTAAGTAGGGAAATGTGCAGGTTCAGCTTTAGTCTTTTACATGTGGTTATCTAGTTCTCCCAGCATCATTTATTCAATAGAGATTATTTTTCCCAGTATATGCTTTTGTTTGGTTTATCAAAGATCAGATGCTATAAAAGACTGGTTTCATCAACTGGTTTTCTATTCAGTTCCATATGTCTATGTGTCCATTTTTGTGCCAATACCATGTTGTTTTGATCACTGTGGACTTGCAATATAACCTGAAGTCTGTTAGAGTGATGCCCTTGGTGTTGTTTTTATTACTAAAAATTGCCTTGGCTATATGGGTTTTTTCCTAGTTCCATACAAAGTGAAGTACTATTTTTTCAATGTACTAGTACTAGTACTAGTTCTTCAATGTATGATGCTGATATTTTAATGAAGATTGCATTGAATCTGTAAATTGCTTTTGGTAGAATAGACATTTTGACAATGTTGGTTCTTCCCAGCCAACAGCATGGTATGTTCTTCCATTTGTTAATGTCTGCTAATATATCTTTTCTTAGAGTTTCATAATTCTCTTTGTAGAGGTCCTTCATCCCCATTGTTAGGTATATTCCTAAGTATTTCATTTTCTTTGAAGCAACTGTGAAGGGAATTGTTTCCTTAAGTAGCTTCTCAACTTGGCTGTTGTTGGCATGTACAAAGACTACTGATTCATGGACATTGATTTTATACCCTGAGACATTACTGTATTTCTTGATAACTTCCAGGAGACTGGTGGTTGAGTCTCTGGGGTCCTCTATGTATAAGATCATATCATCAGCAAACAGAAACAATTTGACTTTCTCTGCCCCTATTTGGATGCTCTTTATATCCTTCTCTTGCGTTATTGCATTGGCTAGAACATTCAGGATGATGTTGAATAGTAGTGGCGATACTGGACATCCTTGTCTGGTTCCAGTTCTAAGTGGAAAATCTTTCAGTTTTACTCCACTCAGTGTGATAATAGCTGGAGAGTTTGTTATAGATGGCTTCAATCAGTTTAAGAAATGCCCCACTTATGCCCATATTTTTTAACTGCTCTTATTAGAAAAGGATGCCAAATTTTGTCAAATGCTTTTCCTTCATCTATTGAGAGGATTATATGGTCCTTGTTTTTGCTCCTATTGATATGTCGAATTATATTTATGGATTTGCATATGTTAAACCAACCTTGCATCCCTGGGATAAAGCCTATTTGATTGTGATATATAATTTTTTTAATGTGTAGCTGTAATCTATCAGCTAAGATTTTATTGAGTATTGTTGCATCAATACTAATTAGTAATATTGTTCTGTAGTTCTACTTTTTAGTTTGATTCTCTCCTGGTTTTGGTGTCAGGATGATGTTTGCTTCATAGAATGAGTTGGAGAAGATTCCTTCCCCCTCAGTGTTTTGGAAAAGGTTCTGCATTATAGGTACAAGCTCTTCTTTGAAGATTTCATAGAATTCAAAACTAAAAATAGAATTTACCATATAATTCAGCAATTTCACTTCTGTATTTGTATTCAAGGAATTGGAATCAGTATATCAAATAAATGTCAGAACTCCTATGTTCTCTGTGGCATTATACACAATGGCCAACGTATGGAAACAATCAGAATACCTATTCATTATAGGTTAATGAATTTTTAAAATGTAGTATAGATATACAACAAAATATCTTTCAGCCTTTTAAAAGCAGGAAATTTTGTCAGTGGTGACAACATGGATGGACTTAGAGAACATCATGTTAAATGAATTCAGGCAATGATATTGCTTATATGTGAAATCTAAATATAAATTAAACTCATAGAATTAGGGAGTAGAATGCGGTTATCAGAGTTGGAGGGAAGAGGTGTAAAGGGAAAGGGAAGATGTTGGTCGAAGTGTACAAAGTTCAACTTAGACATGAAGAATACGTTCTGGTAATCTGCTACACAGGTGATGACTTATAGTGATCAAGAATGTATATTACAAACACCTAAAGGCAAGAGTTTTAAACGTCCTCACTATAAAGAAATGATACATTTTTGAGATAATGGGTATATTAATTGCCTGATTTTTAATATATCTTGTATCAAAACATCAAATTGTGCTACAGATAAATAAATAAAATTATCATTGTCAATTAAAAATAAAATAATTCTTAAAAAGAAATTTATATACAGGAGGGTGGTGCTTGTGCCTCAAAGGAGTAAGGCGCTGGCCCCACATGCCAGACATGGCAGGTTCAAACCCAGCCC